GGATCCCCCAAAAGTTATACCATTGCTACTAGATTACCAAGAAACATCTTCAAGGGAATTTTAGTAGAAAAGCCCATCTCATTTAATAAAGATTTCATACATGGCTTCTCTAATTTCACAAGGGCATTGGGATTTTTGGAAATAAACCAAACATTTAGGTTATTAGAAACTAAACAAAAAACAGAACTACATCTCCATTGAAATGAGACTTCCATGCTAAGCTTCCATTCACAGAGAGAGTCATTTCTGATTAAGAATGTATTCTGTAAACAGGAGGATAAGATGACTCAAAATCTTTACCAGGCATGACTCGCAAGTCTCTAGCTTCAACAGTTACAAAGTCTGGATTGGCTACTACCATAGGAATTTGTTTAGCAGCACAGCGCACCAATACTTTCTCAAGCTCCTCAAGAGTCATAGGGCAGGAAGCACCAGAAGACAGCCCCAATGCTTCAGTGCCATGAGCCAAAACAAACTCAGCTTCTTCAACCTTGTCAACAACTTGTAAGCCTAAGCCCTGCAAGGAAAAAATGGGCATAAAAGCAGGGTATTAATTATGAGTCTGACTCTGAGTGTCTAAGGTCTTCTGACACCTGAATAATCAAGTTTATCAATTGTAAGTCTGCTAATTAGATCCAATGGATCATCCATGGCTCTTGACACAATCACCTAGCACAACTAGAGCAAATGCAGTGATCAATAGATTATCTACTCAAAGATAGTTCAGGTTGAACAGAAATCTATTCCAAAATTCTGTTCAGAGCCAAAGAAAAGAAAAATTACAGATGGAGAAATTGGCTACTAAAAGAGTTGCAGAAGATCTTGTGATAACATAATGGGTGCTTCCTGGTTTGTTTAATCATGTCCGATGTCTTTGTTTACTTAGGAAGAGAGAGAAGGTAAGGAGGAGAGAGGGGGCGGGGGTAAGGCAAACTAGAAGTGTAAAAGAAAAAAAGAAACCAGAGAAACAGTGTAGAAAAGAATTCAACCAAACCACACACCTCAAGAGATATGGCACCTCTGCCCTTCCAAGTCATGTGAATGCAAGATTTTCCTAATGCTGCAAACCAATCATCATCTCTCCTATCAATTTCAACATAGGAGTCAGGAAATCTATATGTATTTACGTGCATTTAAAAGATGTATAAACCATAAACTATGGCATAACTAAGTCAAAAGGAAGAAGTTTGGCATATAAAATGATTTTAAAAAAATAAAAAAACCTTTCTTGTTTTAGAAATGTCATTGATACCGTCCCTAAATGGCAGAATTATCAATCACTTTGAAGGATGGATCCTCGAGGAGGAGGGTAGAGATAAGTGTTCCCATCATTCTGTTTTTCAATCATTGAAGATGGATTCTTTTTCACAGATATTCACAAATAAGGATATTGCAGGGTTTCAAACCAAACATTTCTCTAATAGTATTAGACATAAAGTCCACTTCTTTTCAACAAAATTCGGTACCCCATATGTAAGGATATTAGTGAAAATACATGAAAATTCAGTACACAAAATTGATACCGTATAAACACAAAAAAGCAACAGTCTTTTCAATCACCAAAATAACACCAAACATTGAACATAATTCCTCAACTCCATAAAGCTGAATAACTAACCTCTGCAAATATTGATGTGTTAATTCTCCACTGGTAATTGCTCCGAGAAATAAAGAAGTATCAAATCCAAGACTCTTCATTTTCTCCATTGTTGTAGATGCACGCCGCGAAGAATTACTTATAATCACCATTCTGGCACCGGTAGTAGCTAGCTTTTGCACTGCCACCAATACATGAAATAGAAACCACTTTCAACATAAGATTTTATAACAGCATCAGCCAAGTACTGATCCAGATGCCAAAACTAATGAATAAGCACATACATGTTGAAATTGCACCAGGATAAGGTTGTTTTCCATCATGAAGTACTCCAAATTGATCTAAAAACCATGCCTGTGGTACACATTACCAAATTAATAAGCAAAACTTCTACTTCATGTACAATGTAATCCAAAACAATAAGAAAGACCAACTGGCCAAGTTCTAAGCTTTATACAGAATTCAACGCAATTCAAGCAAACCCATTTGAACCCGGATCCTAAAAACTATTAAACTGTAA